GACAGGTAACAGCTGGAGAACTGAAGACTGACTGGGCACTCCTGGAGTGGACGACAGGGGGGGAATACAGGCACTGTTAGCCTGGAACTGTGACAGTTACAACGGGAGTTGCCAGCAATAATTTGACACAAAACCCCAGATGACACTTCACTGTTCAATGCTGTAACAGTGAACAAGGGTTTCATTAATATCTTATCCCCTGTTGGGCCCAAGGCCCCCCCTTTTCAACACACTAGTAGCTAAGAAAAATACAGGCAGCTATTCAAAAACAAACAAAAAAACAAACCAACATTTCCAAAGTGCTCCTTTAATCCAGACTCTGCCTTGCATAGCTTTGCTACTTATGATTGTCACCAATCATTAAATAAAGAGTCCTCTCTGGGTAGCACTACTCTGCTGTTAAAGGTACTGTATATTCTCTCAGAAGGGATTCATTATTGTCATCTTTAGTGACAGCAGTAGTAGGCTATTTCATGCTTGTATACAGCATTTCATAGGAGGCTCTCAGGGCACTTTACAAGGGCTAGTGAATGAAGTCTCATAAGAGCCTTGTGACCTGGGTGTCACTATTGTAGACAATTGTGGAAAGGGAAACTGAACATGGAGAGTTGGTGACTTTGTGTCCCCCCTCCCAAGCTCCACCTCCCACCCCTGCCAAATCATACAGCTAGTCTGGGGCAGAGCCAGGGAAAGAAATCAGGAGTCCAGATGCCCACAGTTCAGCTCAAACCACTAGACAACACTCCTCCCGTTATTTAACAGAACAGATTTAATTAATATCAATGGAAGCTACACATGTAACTCCCTCTCTGCTATGCTCTGAGTGTCTCAAGACAGGAATATGTCCATTCATCTGACCTGCGCATTCAAAACGCTAACTGGACAATCCCAGCCCCTATGCTAAAGCATGCTGTTCTCCTTGCTCTAACCGCGGGGACCTTCTATGCCAGACACAGCTTTCCCAGCACAGCTCTTGAAGAGTAATGAAACTTGACTCCACATCATTAAGCTGACAGTCATGCTGAGTAGGAGACTGTCCTTTCACAACATAATGAACATTCCTGCTGAGTGGCTGTGATTAGGGCCTCCCCAGTGCTAGGAGGGAAGTGAGTTTCTTCCTGGCCAACCTTTTCTTTTCCAAGAGCCCATTGAGCCCATGAAGGGCCTCTCAGTTCCCTTCTCACAGTGTCTCCTGAAGGCTGTTGCTGGAGGTGTATGTCTCCTCCCCACTAATCTCTCCATTCACAAAGCCTCTGAAGTGAATTGTTACATCCCCAATCTTTAGGGTCCTGAAATTCCCATGCAGCCAGATCTTCAGGTGGTGTAATTTGGCCTAGCTCCATTGCAGTCAATGGCTCAACACGAGTGTACCCAGCTGAGCATCTTATCCACTATGCTTTGTTCTTTAGCTAGAGCTCACTGCACGGGGGCATTATCAGATTGTCTATGGTCCTGCAACCAAGAGAAGCCAGTAAACCATTGTCACAGAGAGGAGAAGAGGGAAGCAACAAGGTTCTGGGAAGCATTTCAGAGCTCTCTTGCCTTTATCACATCATCTGTAGTCAAGTAGTGTAGGCCCCCGCACCAGGAAAAAAGAGGAAGTGAAATCTTGCAGAAACCTCTGAGTTGCACAAGGATTCAAAATTACATTGTAAGCTGCCCTGTGTTGCCTTGAAACTGGTTCCACTGTGAGGATCCTCAAAAAGAACAGGAGTACTTGTGGCACCTTAGAGACTAACAAATTTATTAGAGCATAAGCTTTCGTGGGCTACAGCCCACTTCTTCGGCTCATCCACATTACAATTAGAAATGGGTTAAGAGGGATGTGAAACACAAAAAGAACTGCGAGGCTGCCCTGTTTTACTTGGTTATGAAGCAGAAAGAAGGCCTAAATAGGGCCTGTTAGAGAACTTTTCCCACAGGAGTTTTACATTAGAAATTCAGGGTCTTGACTATCTTCAAGACCCTATGGATGACTGGAGAAGTGGCAGGCTTATGGCATGAGAGAAACTGACTGAGATGGGAAATTATTCAGATGATTTAAAAAATTTTGGGAGTTGGGGGTGGGGGTGTGAAGGTTGGTGGTTTATGTTAACTTGAACACTTGGGAGAATAACGCTCTTCGATAAAACGTCAGCACCCTGTTCCTTCAATTAAGGGCTAGGGAAACTCCCTCGGGAGTTCTCCAGCAAAAACAAGGAGGATCAGATTTAAGAGTTTGATATTTCTAAGACTAAATAATTAGAAAATATAGGATTAATCTAAAGAGAGAGCGAGCACACACCTGCACAACCCTCGTTTTTTCCCCTTTCCGTGTCACCTTTAAGTATACCCAGGCTCTGACATGCTCATCTGATATGGGCACAACTACTACCATTCAGCACATCCACAGGGCAGGCATTTTTCCTAGTACAACTGCGTATCTTTTGGACTAGCCTCGCCACACACACCAGGCTTGTTTCAGGTGTATTGTGGGAAAGTCTGTGCATATTACCACATATTTGCTCAGGTGCTGATGTGTGTTTTACAGGAGCCCCTGTGCTTTGGGATGTCCTCTCAAACAAAGGCCTGATAGGCTGAAGACAGGGCCGGCCCCAGCTTTTTTGCCGCCCCAAGCGGCGAAAAAAAAAGAAAAGAAAAGAAAAGAAAAACCTGATTGAGTTGCCGCCGAAGAGGAAGACAGGGAGTGAAGGACCTGCCGCTGAAGACCAAAGCAGGCTGATTGAGCTGCCGCTGAAGTGCCGCCGCCCCGGACGTGCTGCCCCAGCAACAGACAAACTGCCGCCCCTTTTTATTGGCCGCCCCAGGCACCTGCTTCCTTCGCTCGTGCCTGGAGCCGGCCCTGGCTGGAGAAGTGGCTAATCCAGTTACACCAACACAGTCAGGCAGTTGCATGCACAGTGCACAAGAACTATGCAGACTCCAGTTCAAGCCCGGAGACTGTGTTGCAGACCCGCTTACAGCATACCCTCATGGCTAGGAACTGAGGGCCAGGCTCAGCCCTGGCATTAGCAGTTGACTTTGATGGGAATTTGCAGAACTGAATTTGATCCTGTGTGTGGACATACAAACCGTGTGTGGAATCAGCCATGTTACAACCTACATATAAACTTGGAAAGAACATTGCAGTGAAACTTGACTGAGATTCAAGTTCCTCTGAATCCTGAAATTGGGTAGATTTTGTGCAATTTGGGGTTGCAGAACAAAAAGCTCAGACAACTCTAATTATTTTCACTGATTAAATGCAGAGCCACCTGCACTGCTGCACTTCCAGTGTTCTGACACCTCAAGAGATCTAAAAACAAGTGCTTGTTCTGTTTCATTCTAGGAGCCATGATGTAAGGCCTCAATACAAAGCTATTTGGGGATGTGGAGCAAAATCTGAAACTGAGGCCACCCACCCTTCCATAAACCCTGATGATAGGCCCAGAGGTGGTAGGGTTGGCGAGTGAGCCCACCCGGCAGTGACAGTTCTCGTCCCGTGGGGCTGGACCCAGTTCCTCACTCCTGGCACACGGGGGGTGCAGTGCTGCTCAGATTTGGCCTGGCCACCTCTTTGTCATGATGGACGGGTGCTGGGCCAAACCTGAATGATGCTGCAACCTCATGCAACAGGTTACAATGCCAGTCACTCAGATTTGGCCCAGCTGTGCTTCCATCATGACAAAGTGAGGGCCGGACCAAATCTGAATGATGCTGCAACCCCGTGCACCAGGTTGCAACACCATGCAGTTTGCAGGTTCTCTGGAGTTCCTCGGGCAAACTGCACCCTCTCCAGGCGGCTCTGTTACAGATGCACACAGGGAAAACCGGTCAGTGGGGGGAGCCTCCCATACCCACCAGCTTAGAGATATATTAGAGAAGAGCTCTGTCAGTTACATAACTCAGCACTTCTAACAGGAAGGAGAGAGTCAAGCAATAAGGCCATTTCGAGGATTCCTCCAAACGTAATCTCAGGGAGGAGACAAGTGATGCCCAGGGAGTGAATTTTCATTTGGTGACCTGATGCTTAGCAGTACAAATCCTAGTGACTTTAAGCGAGATCATGCACACAGAGCACTATAAATCTCCACATGACAAACATACTGATCGTGCTCGGTACTTACGTAGCATCATCCACCTAAGGATCTCAGTGTGCTTCCCATTCTCAAAGCACTAATTAATAGTCAAAAATTCCTTGTGAAGTAGGTCATATTGGTATTATTAAAGGTGGGTGAATGAATGGGTTGGTCCGTTGGTATTTTTAAAAGAAGTTTGTCTTTTTTTGGTTGTGCACGATCCCCAAGCAGCTTGAGATCTCCTTGGATTTATCTGTGATTTGAAATTACTCAGGGAATCATTTCAACAGATAACCCTTGCCCCATCAACCATGAATGAGCTGTTCATTGTCCGTAGTTAGTTACCTCTGATAGGTCAATTAGGTCACATGGTACCATTTCTGGTAGCTGATTGGAGCTGAAATAGGAGACGGAAGAGGCTTGGTGCCTGGGAAAGAACTAGCAGTGAGGAAAGGGCAAGAAGAGGAGAAGGAGCATGAAGGGGAGAAAATAGAGCTGAGGCCCACTGGCAGCATAGGGCAGGCTTGCACAGCTGTTCCCCATGGCCGTACTTGTTCTGTGGATTAAGGTCTCCGACACCGTCAATACAGCTTCATACAGGAAAGTTAAAGGAAAGGGAGATAAGGGAGCAGAGGAGAGACAGTGGTCACTAGAATAAAAGACTTTAGGCCATTCAGAAGCAGCCTTAAAGTTAGTCACAGTCAGGCACAGCTGTGTGACGACCAAGAGTCCAGAGAGGAGACTCCCAATTTAAAAAAGGTTTCTGAGAAATACAACCGCAGAAAAACACATTGACCAAATGTTTCTGAAGTCCGCTGAGTTCTAGGGGTGTATGTCAGGGTAGAATTCAACCCACTGCCTTTAAGTATTAATCTCTGAACTGAAGGGAATCTGCACATCTCCAATGAGTAGCCTTCCCTGCCTGTGAGCTCACCAACATACCTGCCTGGCGGCTTGAGAAGGCAAAGACAATGATGTCATCAAAGGTCCAGGTGTAGTCCTGGTGTGGGGGGTAAAACATCAGCTTGTCTGAGGCCTCTTTCCTCAGGTCAATGAGGAATGTGGAGTGAACCATCGGGACAGCAAAACAGCCCAACCTCTTCCATTCCCTGATCGGGGCATAATCCGGTGTCTTTCTGTAATAGCCCTGAAATGCGAAGAGCCAGCACTTTATTACCATGAGACATTTCAAATGACTAGCCTACTGACTCTTTTCAGTAGAGCTTGACCAGTGCCAAAATCCCAGGTCCTCTCATTCCCAATTTTTGGGGCTGTTTGACATCTGCACTTGGAACTGAATTTCCCAAATTGCCCCACTCTTTCTTATGGGCTGACCCAAACCCCTGGGTACAAGTACCCCCAAACCTTACAGCATGACCCCATCTTCCCTTTTCAGCAGCTAATGGAGACCTAAGCTGTACTACTGCAAAGCTCCTTGGCGGCAAAGCTTCAAAGCCAGCCTGGCCAGGTGTTACTCCCTGACTCTCTAAAACCTACATTTGCACACACATCTCCAAGACTAATCCTGCAAAGTGCTGAGCACCCTCAACTTCCACTGAGGTCAATGGGAGAGGAGGGTACTGAGCAGCTCACAGTATCAGGCCCTCACATAATTACGGCAATCAAATCCCCTTTCTGCTCCAGGGCTGTCAGGCAGACACAACACTGGTCTTGAAACTGCATCCGTTGAAGTCTATGGGAATTTTCTCATTGTCTCAATAGCAACTAGAACAGGCCCTTTGTCAACAATGGGACAGATTCCTCCCACTAGAAACTGGGTGGGTTCAATTTGTCTTCTTCCTGAATCTCTGGGCTAGCTGTGCCAGAGGGTGGATTCACCCCAGGGCAGAACAGCTTTAATGTCCACTTGGGATTCCAGGGGGTTCCACCAAAGGGGTTTGCCTAGGACAGATGCTTGATCAGCATGTTACTTGTGTCTGCCTCCCAGGTGGACCTTCCATCAGTGTGGGCTCACAACCTGGGTTGTGGTGGCTTAAATCTGGCCTTTGCCCATGTAATGCTACTAATACAATCAGTGATGGAAATAACAACCTAATACTCAGGCTGAGGCAGTCCTAATACATTCATCAGATGTCTGAACAATGACAAGGACTGGCGTGGATCCATAGCAAATTCTGGTCTTCTTAAAATAAAATAATAATCATAAAATAAACAACAACAATCCTAATTCCTGAATGTTCCACAAGTATCCCAGCAAACAGACGTAAGTTGAGCAAACATCTTTCAGTGCCTTTTCTCTCTCTCTCTCCATGTAAGTTGTGCATCATCAGGAAAGGCTCCAGCTTGTCAGTTTTGCTGCCAAACCTTCCAACAGTTATTTTCCTGAGAAGTAGATGTTGAGCTCTCCAGCTCGGTGTTTGGATTGCTACTGTTGCTCTGCACTGTTGCTGCTGCTGCACCCTGCTTTTCAATGCTTGTTCTAGCCGCTATTCCTGCACTAGTCCCCAGAAGAAAACGGACCAGGAGGAGTGTGAAACCATTGGGCTAGAAGTGCAAAACTAGGAGTGGTCAGAAAAAAAAAAAGTGGATGTTTTGTTTTCACTCTAACCATTATTTACCAGGAAGTCTGTAGATCATATTTTCATCTTGTTTTTCTTTTCTTTACTGTCTTTTCTTAGCTAACACCAATAATGATGGAAAACTGGAAACTTGTTACCAGAGTTGTAGAATTCTGTGTCAAATCCTCTGCTGGTGGAAACTGGCTGTGATCTATTAAAGTCGACCGAGCAATGCTGATTTATGTCAGCTGTGAATCTGACCCCTTCTTTCTGAAGGCTTAAAAGGATGCTACCACCAGGATTCTCATACATTTTTAAACTTTCTTGATCCATATGTTTACTAATAACAATTCCTAATAACAAACTCAAGAACTGAAGAAGTTTAGGATGCTGTCCTGCAATTTTTTACTTACATGAGTAGTCTTTAGTCTGGCCTGTAATCCCAGTGATGTCATTGGTAGAATAAGGAGTTACAAAATTGGCCACAGAGTAAGAAAGTTCTTTCTACACTTCTTTTCCCTGTAGCACCAATAAAATTAATAATGAATTTCTGGATTGCTCTTCAAAATATTAAAACAAAGAGTTGGGTCAGGGCAAGACTATAGAATTGGAAATATTTATATGTATGAGTCAGAGCAATTAAGGAACCTGAAATTAAATTATTTTCTCTGAATCTGAAGATGTTTCTGTTTAATTAATTCTCTTGCAAAACTCATTTATGGATAAGGAGACATTTATCAACTTTGGAATCTCTCAATCTCATTATGGCCCTAAAAATATAATAATTTCTAGAGTGTGCAATATTTTTGTTAGTAATATATACCAAAGTATAGATAGGGAATAAATTATTAGGAGTGCCATGAACAAAACAGGGCTTGAGTCTCCTCTCTAAATCAGTTTCTGGAATACTGCACTGTATAAATCTGGTCGAAGCGCAAGGAGAAATGCTCACACAATGGAGTAGTGTACGGAGAAGAGTAAATTCTTAATTGATTTGTGCCAGAATACTGGAAAACCCAGGCTAAAATTATGTATCCGTGGTATTTAATTTCATTCAGATTACACAGAACATAGGGAATCACCTCCCATAGACATCAGTGCAACTGTGGGTATACTGGTATGTTCTTACGTACTTGGTGGGATTGGGCCATTACACATTATTTTTTGGTTACAAACAGCCTCACTCATAAAACATGCTCAGTCTCCTCAGGATTTAGCCTTTTCTAAGGAGGAGCCCCAGCTAAGGAAACAGGCCCCAGAAATTTGCTTGTGCTCTACATCTAGGCTATACGCCACTTTGCTCACTGCCATCATTTGATGATAACACAAAACCAGCACCTCAAAATGTTGATTGCATTGAACATTGTAACGTCCACTTGGGGTCAGCTCCAAAAACCCCAGGGAGCAGCAGCCAAGTTCTCTGATGTCTACAATAATGGATGGCTGCTGAGTTAACTCTGCTCCTGTCTCTCTATTTCCTTCATATCAGCCCCACCTGCCTCTGCAGGCCTTCATGCTCCTGGATGATTAATGAGAACTCTTCCCCCACCCTCCCACACACACCTGCTTATTAATCCTCTGAGATCCCAGCCCTTCAGGAGTATTCGAAGAGCCACCGATTCCCACGTGAATAAAAACCCTCATAATCCCCAACCACATCCCCACCCACCCCAATTGTCCTCTGCCTGCCATGCCAAGACTCTAATGGCTTTTGCAGCTGGTTGACCCCATGCTGCTCCCCACAATGAAGCAGGAGAGCAGGACCCAGCAACAGAAGGAGGTGGGGCAAGGCTCAGAGGCAGAGGAAGGAGGAAAGGTTCCAAGCCAGAGAGCGTCAGAGCAGAAGCTTAGGAGAGGATTCCCTAAAAGTTTTCCCTCCCCCATTTATTCCCAGGATCCTGAAAAGACCGAAGCTTCCCCTGATTTACCTCCAGTGTCTCCTACTGTAATGAGGTTTGCAACTCTGCCTCTGAGGAAGGAGCAAGCTTAGGTGGCTGCCTAATGCTCAAATCAGCCTGATTTGCATCACAGGTGGAGCAGCATCCCTTCAGAATAGAGAGCAGTCTGCACTGCAAGGCAGCTTAGGAGGACAGCAAAATTGACGTGGGCCCCACAGCATCACAGGCAAATGTGGGGTGAGTGGAGCCTTGTTGTAATAACTCGGCCAAACGTGGTGTGAGCAGAGCCCTATTGTAATAACAGGGCCTCCAAATTTACCCTAATAGTGAGTTTACTGTCAAAAGGATGCAAAAGTTCTTAAGACATCACAACAACCTATAACAACAAATGTTGATGGGAAAATGTATGAAAACCAGAGAGAGAGAGAGAGAGAGAGAGACTAAATTAGTCCAGACAAAAAGGGCCTTCTCATATGGTTTATGGACTGTGTTAAAATCATGCTCGGTAGAAACATAAGATGTGGAACCAGAAATTAATGAACCAAAATTGGCATGTCTGAAACTAGACCTAATTGGTGGACAAAATAATGAGGAGATGGACTATTCCACCCAACGCTCCCTTTTTGGGTCTTTAAAGAAAGAGACTTTGGGGGGGAGACTACGAAAGAAGAGATGGCAGCTACTGGAGTGACTGTCACCATCATGGCTGCCAACCCCACCGTTTCCCAGGTCCCCGGGTCTCCATCACTTTGATCCTGAGAGATGTCGTGACCAGACCAAACTAAAGAGAGAGGGAGCCAGACAACATCACCACTTTTACCAGCTCCAGCTGAATCCTAGATACCACCTGGGATGAAATGGGATTGGACTTTAACTGCAGCAGCAACAACAGCAGCAGCAGCAGCAGCAGAATCTCCATCTCAGCTCAACTAACTTCTTCTCTTTTCCTCAAAAGGACAGTTATCATCATCTTTGATACCATCTGTAAGGGTGTGGACTCACCCCTGCGGCACCTCCTGCTGGTCTCTGTTGGGAATTAGCTCTGCCAGCCTTGGAGCGCCCTCTGCAGGCCTGTGATCCGCCTTGCCGCTGGCCCCGTGTCCCTCCCAGGACCCCGGTGCCCCTTTTCTCTGGGTGCTGCCCCCTGGCAGTAACCCCTCAGTCTTAGGATCTCCCCTCCCCAGGGAACTCCCATCCACTATCCCCACCTCGCCTCAGTATCCGGCTACTGCCAGTCATTGTCTAGCCCCCACGCCCTGGGGCAGACTGCAGTATCAGCCCACTCATCACCGGCAAGGTTGGGTTTGGACCTGCTGCCTTTGTCTACCCCTGGGCTGCCCTCTGCAACCCCCAGTACCTGTTGGCCTTATGCTAGGCCGCAGCCTGGGGCTTTCCAGGCTGGAGCTCCCCAGCTCCTCTGCCTTTCCCCAGCCCTGTTCCACTCAGGTACCCTGTCTCTAGCTCCCTGCAGCCAGGCCCTTCGCTCTCTGAATACAGAGAGAGAGTTCTTCTGGGCCTCTGGCTCACAGACTTTTATAGGGACCAGCTGGGCCTGATTGGGGCATAGCCCAGCTGTGACTACTTCCCCAATCAGCCTAACTTTTCCCTGCCACAGCCCTCTCCCTGGCTGTTTTAAGCCCTTCAGGGCAGGAGCGGGGTAACCACCCCGCTACACCATCTAAGACAGCGAGAGGGTAATCCGCTGGAGGGCTGTCAGTTTGTTTACATTTGTATGGCTGCCCGCAGCTCCCAGTGGCCATGGTTCACCATTCCCGGCCAATGGAAGCTGCGGGAAGCGGCGTGGGCCGCAGGGACATGCTGGTCACCACTTCCCACAGCTCCTATTGGCCAGGAACAGTGAACTGCAGCCACTGGGAGCTGCGGGTAGCCGTGCAAATGTAAACAAACTGTCTTGCGGCCTGCCAGCGGATTACGCTGAAGGGCCATGTGCGGCCTGTGGGCCACAGGTTACCCACCACTGATGTAAGAGATGGTCAAACAAGGGGGGGGTTTCCTTTTAAAACTCTCTCCAGCTCAAGGGAAAGGGAACAAGGGTTGTTGTTAAAATGAAAGCCTCACTGAACACTTTGCATTTCAACTGCTTTAACTGTTTTTCCTTCTTTTTTGTATTTTTAATAGACAGGATTTTTAATGGTGTGTTTGCTGAGATCACTGTAGACCAAACACCGAATCTTGTTTAACACTGTTTAACCCTGGACAGTAACTGGGTTATGTTAACATCCTTGGGCCCCTATATTCCACCTAAATTAATACAACACCCCAGAGAAAGCTCACACATGAGGCAGCCCCCGACGCTGTTCACTAACCCCATTGAAAACGTGACTTGCCTGAGGGGTGATACCACACCAGAAATTAGAATAGAGAGAGCGAGACTCCAGCATTGGTGCCACCACGGTCTTGTTCTCTGCTATCATCAGGTTCAGGGTCTCTGGATTGGTGAGCAAGTTATCTGCGTCTACAAACTAGAGAAGGAAAAGGGAGAAAGGACTTTTTCAACACCAGATAAAGTACCGGTAATAAACTTTTACAATGTTCCTTCCTAGGAGAGGCGGTGGTTGAATGGCTCACGAGATTAGCAATGGGCTAGAGACACTTTTGCCTCTAAGTCACTGGTCTGAATCCAACCTGGGTTGACAGTCACTTTAGTTGTTACCATCTGATGGCTACTGAGAGCCCATGTGAAAGGAGTTGATGGGCTCGGTCTATTTCCCAGTGGACAAGCGTCCACTATAAAAATACCACATCTAGCAGTGGCACTAATTAGCAGCTTCTGTGGAAAGGCCACTGAATGGGAAGAGAGACTGAACTTGCTTCTTCTCCTAAAGGAGATCATGAGGGAGGCTTGCACTGCCAGTGCCCACGCTGGATGTTACGTGGAGAGACAGCAGCAGTGGCTCCTCAGAACAGGCACTCCCCACCCGTTTGGAGTCCGATACAGAAAGACTGTTGATCACTGCTGTAAAGTGGCTCGGATCCCACCCTTCCATGCTGTTCTGCCAAACTTCTTTCTGATGTCACCAAACTTCACTGATAGCCAGCAGGATTCTAAAAAGGGCACCTATCACCAGCAGGACTACATTCACTGGCAAACATAGTCCAGTCTCTGTGAGTGGATCCCTGGGCACATGCTGAGCCCCATTGTACTCAGCGGGGCTCTGCACATAGATCTAATTGCAATGCTGGGGCCTCACACACACAGTCTGTTGCTGATCAGATCAGCTGATTCCACAGGTGTTTTTCAAGCCGAATTCAGAGCAAACAAAGAGCTCTTCTTTTAGAAGGGAGGAACTTTTGGCACACATTTGTGGGACTGATCAGAGCTCAGAGATGGTTTGTTTCTGCCCACTTCCCCCACTCCAAGCATGGCTGCAGAATGACTGCCTGAAAATGTTCTGCCCAACTGCAGTTAATAAACCAAACCTCTCTTTTACCATGATGTAGTCTGACCACTTTTCTCTTGCAGTTCGCAGAGCTGCCTGCCTGAGTTTCATCACATGGGTAAACCTGGAGCTCGGCCAGTGTTTTGGCCCAATTTCATCGGGGTAAGACCTATGAAAGAAAAACAAACAGTTACTGCCTCCTGGCTCTGTCCATGCTGCAGCACCCCTGGTCATTACATTTCCCTTCTGACTTCAGCATAAAAGGAAAACAGACAGTCACCTCAACTGACCCAGGCGGTAGGAGAGCAGAAATGAAAAGGCAGGTTCTGAGGAAAAGTTTATTCCTGGAGTTTGTACACAAGGCTCTACAGAACACACCGTGCTACAGCATTTCCTGCCTCACACGTGGCTACGGCGAAAAAGGGGTGATGTCAAAAACAGCTTCTCATTCAGTAGGCCAGATTCTCTGCTGGTGTAAACCAGTGTCATTCCACTGAAGTCAGTGCAATCATGTTGATTTATACCAGCTGAGGATCTGACCTCATATAGCTACTCCCTGCTAGATATTAAGAGTCACATCTGTTCACATTACTCCCCTACACCCAGCAGAGCCAGCACAGCTCATGGAGAGTAATCTGGATTCTTTCATGGCTTGTACATCATTAGCCATTGTTACCTAAGGCCCAATCCCGACAAACTAACACTTAACGCTAAACTTAATGGGACTAATCTTGTGAGTCAAGTTACACATGTGCTTAATGGTTTTGAGGCTTGGAGTTTGTGTTCTGATAGCAGAATCTTCATTACTGATGAGGATGTGGGAGAAAGAAAGAAACCAAGGGCCAGATCCTCAGCTGATATAAATGGATCAGACTCCACTGATCTCAACGGAGTTGTGCCAATTTACAACAGTTGAGGAGCTGGCTCTGAAAAATTCATATTCACTAAAAAGCAAAGTTTTTTTTACAAAACCTAAAGGAGAAAGTTTCCAAGATTAAAATTAAAAAAGTCCGGTGGAAAGAGGATTGTTATTGAAAATTAAGCAAACATTGCCCTGCAAGATTTGCAAGACAAACACCAGAGCACTATGTTGTCGAATAAGACCCTGAATGCGAAAGTGATTGCATACAAATGTCCAACCTGGGAGAAATGCAAAAAAGTTAAAAAAAAAAAAAACAGCACAAAGGATGGAAATTAAATTATATTTTTAAAATCCTCTCACTTTCATAATCTGAAATCTTGTTAATAGGTGAAGATTTTTGTTCTTTAATATGGGTGTCAAAAAAGGTAGGACAAAAAGTAAAGGCAAGTAGTAATGGCTTTAGTCTGCAGCAAGGGAGATTTAGGTTAGATATTAGGAAAAACTTTCTAACTCTAAGGTTAGTTAAGCTCTGGAATAGGTTTCCAAGAGAGGTTATAGAATCTCCATCATTGGAGGCTCTTAAGAACAGGTTGGACAAACACCTGTCAAGGATGGTCTGTGTTTATGTGTTTCTGCCTCAGTGCAGGGGCTTGGACCAGATGACCTCTCGAGGTCCCTTCCTGCACTACATTTCTATGATCTTCTTTAAACTCAACAGTGTCCCTTTAAGTATCGACTTAAGTACTATGGCGGAGAATGGTTTGGAAGAGTCATCTGAGGGAAGGGATCAGAAGGAGACCCCATCGACCGGAAGACATGGAATGCATTGTCCTAGGGATGGGGGTTCCATGACCACCAATCCCAAGAGGAGGAGACAGGTGGTGGTGGTCGGGGACTCCCTCCTAAGAGGGAAAGAGTCATCCATCTGCCGTCCAGACCAGGAAACTTGAGAACTGTGCTGCTTGCCTGGAGCTAGAATTCAGGATCTGACGGAATGTCTGCTGAGACTGATCAAACCCTCGGACCGCTACCCCTTCCTACTTCTCCATGTGGGCACCAATGATACTGCCAAGAGTGACCTTAAGTGGGTCACAGCAGACTATGTGGCTCTGGGAAGAAGGATAAAGGAGTTTGAGGCACAAGTCGTGTTCTCATCCATCCTCCCTGTTGAAGGAAAAGGCCCAGGTAGGGACCATCGAATTGTGGAGGTAAATGTGTGGTTACGCGGGTGATGTCGGAGAAAGGGCTTTGGATTCTTCGACCATGCGATGTTGTTCCAGGAAGAAGGATTGCTAGGAAGAGATGGAATCCACCTAACGAAGAGAGGGAAGAGCATCTTCTCAGGCAGGCTTGCTAACCTAGTGAGGAGGACTTCAAATTAGGTTCACCGGGGGATGGTGACCTAAGCCCGGAGGTAAGTGGGGAAGTGGAATACTGGGAGGAAACAAGGAGAAGGGTGCAACAGGGGAGGCATCCTGATTCATACTGAGAAAGTAGGGCAATCAGCTGGTTATCTTAGGTGCCTGTACACGAACGCAAGAAGCCTGGGAAAGAAGCAGGAAGAATTGGAAGTCCTGGCACAATCAAGGAACTATGATGTGATTGGAATAAGAGTTGGTGTGGTAACTCACATGACTGGAGCACTGTCATGGATGGGTATAAACTGTTCAGGAAGGACAGGCATGGGAGAAAAGATGGAGGAGTTTTGCTGTATGTAAGGGAGCAGTATGATTACTCAGAGCTCCAGTATGAAACTGGAGAAAAGCCTGTTGAGAGTCTTTGGGTTAAGTTTAGAGGTGAGAGCAACAAGGGTGATGTCATGGTGGGCGTCTGCTATAGACCACCAGACCAGGAGGATGAGGTAGACGAGGCTTTTTTCAGACAACAGAAGTTTCCAAATGACATGGGGGACTTCAATCACCCTGACATCTGCTGGGAGAGCAATACAGCAGTGCACAGACAATCCAGGAAGTTTTTGGAGAGCGTTGGAGACAACTTCCTGGAGCAAGTGCTGGAGGAACCAACTAGGGGCCGTGCTCCTCTTGACCTGCTGCTCACAAACAGGGAAGAATTGGTAGGGGAAGTAGAAGAGGGTGGTAACCTGGGCAGTAGGGATCAAGAGATGGTCAAGTTCAGGATCCTGACAAAAGGAAGAAAGGAGAGCAGCAGAATACGGACCCTGGCCTTCAGAAAAGCAGATTTTGACTCCCTCAGGGAACTGATGGGCAGGATCCCCTGGGAGGCTAATATGAGGAGGAAAGGAGTCCAGGAGAGCTGGCTGTATTTTAAAGAAGCCTTATTGAGGGCGCAGGAACAAACCATCCCGATGTGCAGAAAGAATAGCAAATATGTCAGGTGACCAGCTTGGCTTAACAGAGAAATCTTCGGTGAGCTTAAACACAAAAAGGAAGCTTACAAGAAGTGGAAACTTGGACAGATGAATAGGGAGGAGTATAAAAATATTGATCGAGCATACAGGGGTATAATCAGGAAGGCCAAGGCACAATTGGAGTTGCAGCTAGCAAGGGATGTGAAGGGTAACAAGAAGGGTTTCTACAGGTATGTTAGCAACAAGAAGAAGGTCAGGGAAAGTGTGGGACCTTTACTGAATGGGGGAGGCAACCTACTGACAGATGATGTGGAAAAAGCTGAAGTACTCAATGCTTTTTTTGCCTCGGTCTTCACAGACAAGGTCAGCTCCCAGACTGCTGCACTGGGCAGCACAATATGGGCAGGAGGTGAGCAGCCTTCAGTGGTGAAAGAACAGGTGAAGGACTATTTAGAAAAGCTGGACATGCACAAGTCCATGGGTCCTGAACTAATGCATCCAAGGGTGCTGTGGGAGTTGGCTGATGTGATTGCAGAGCCATTGGCCATTATCTTTGAAAACTCATGCCGATGGGGGGAGGTCCCGGATAACTGGAAAAAGGCTAATGTAGTGCCCATCTTTAAAAAAGGGAAGAAGGAGAATCCAGGGAACTACAGACCGATCAGCCTCACCTCAGTCCCTGGAAAAATCATGGAGCAGGTCCTCAAGGAATCCATTTTGAAGCACTTGGAGGAGAGGAAGGTGATTAGGAACAGTCAACATGAATTCACCAAGGGCAAGTCAATCCTGACCAATCTGATTGCCTTCTATGATGAGATAACTGGCTCTGTGGATATGGGTAAAGCGGGAGACATGATACATCTTGACTTTGGCAAAGCTTTTGATATGGTCTCCCATAGTATTCTTGCTAGCAAGTTAAAAAACTATGGATTGGATGAATGGACTATAAGGTGGATAGAAAGTTGGCTAGAT